AATAGGGAAATAAGAATGTAAAGTTAACTAACATACTTATGCAGAGAAATTATCCCCAAGAACTATGGGATTAGATTAAATTAAGAAGATTAGAGCTTTGCCAGGGATGGTCCCGCTGCCTGAGAGAGTAAACTGCAAAGAAGGTGGTTAAATTGCAGAGTGTACAATGAGGACAGAGCCTGCCACGTAGGAGGCCCTCAGTAAATTGTCCAGAAAGAGGGTGAGTGAGTGGAAATGTCTTTCAGGACCATCTGTGTCTCTCTGTCCTAACTGCTCGTTGTGCAACACTCTCATTCATTAGTCAGTTTCCCAGGAGCTTTAGTGTTAGAAGCCTTGTCCTAGTCGTGTTGTTATCAAATACTCTGGCATTCAGTTTTGCATCATTCAATCTTGGGACCATCCTAGGGTATTCTGTAAGGTCTAAGGGGGCAGAGACCAGACTAAACAATTCCCCTCTACCTAGTCTCCTATTCAAAATTTAGCCTAATGATATTTTTCTCAGGTGAATTAATCTACACTGAAACAAGGGCAAAAGGTCTGTGCTAGTAAAACTTTCTTTAAAGGAAAATTTAAGTGCATTATTTCACGCCTGAGCAATGTCACACCTGACAGAAATTGTCCATTCTGGATTTCAAATACAAGGGGAGTAAGTCATTCTGAATGAATGAAACATCCAGTTGTTCTTAGCAGAGAAAATATGTCTCCAGTGCAGACAATAGAGATGTTATATGAAGAACATATGAATGTAGATTTGAAGTTTCCACCTGTTCTAACCTAGATGCATTTTCCAATCGATCTTGAAGAAATTATGATCACTTAACAAGCCCTCATTTTAAAGACCTGTAAACAGGTCTAGAGAGTTGTGGCACAGTTAAATAGTCATGTAACCGGGACTGGCACCGGTCTTTTGTGGGCTTAGTATTTGGCCATACTAACATATATCCTTCATCATTTTGCTACGTCGCAAAAGCTTTGTCTTTGGAGATAGATTTAATTTTTGAAAACCACAAAAGTATTTCAGAGGCTAAATCACAAATAAGGTGATGATCAGATTTAATAATCTATAATTGATTCAAAATGAGCTGGCTTTAACAAGAATATTTTCCTCAAGAATTGTAGCTAATAGCCTATGAAATGCATTTCTAAAACTAGACCGCCTCCAAAATAAACCAAGAGGGAATGATGGAATTAGAATATACCATTTGCTTCATCTCACATACACACAACAGTCTCAGAATAGGAATACCAGTATTACCACTATTGATTATGATCACTAAGAAAAAGTTTAAAATTTTTTAATTGACTATGCTTTCCTTATCCAGAGTATTCCCTTGTTTTGGTGTACTAAATCTTCATGTGTTCATTGTTGGATCATATAGTCATTACATGTTGTACTCTTCCCTTAAGCCTCATTCATATCTGACTTTCTAAGTAGCTGTATGTTTAATGCTCACCACCAGTTCTTATACCAACGTCTCTCTGGTCATTTTGGTCTAAAGTTTGTTCTCTAATTCCAGGGATGGCAAAGTTTTTCTGAAAGGGGCTAGATAGTAAATATTTAGGCTTTGTGGGCAGAAACAGTCCTGTCACACATTTGTGTGTGTGTGTGTGTAACAACGCTTTAAAAATGTAAAAACCATTCTTAGCTTGAGAGCTGTACAAAAATATCTCTGACTACAGTTTGCCAATCCTTGCTCTAGTAGATTCCTCAAGAAGGACTCACGGAGACAATATTCCAGTTTTGCTGGATATAAAATCCTTGTTAGCCAGGTGTGGTGGTGCACACCTGTAGTCCCAGCTACTTGGAGGCTGAGGCAGGAGGATCACTTGCCCCGGAGTTTGAGGTTGCTGTCAGCTATTATTGTGCCACTGCACTCCATCCAGCCTGGGCGACAGAGTGAGACCTTATCTCTAAAAAAAATAAAATAATAAAATCCTTGGCTCACATTTTCTTTCCTTACGTATTTTTAAAATGTGACTTCATTTTCTTCTGGCATAAAACATTGCAGTTGAAGTCTGATAATAGTCATATTTTATTTTCCTTGTAAGTTACTTGCTATTTTTGCCTAGAGGCCCAAGGGATTTTTTTTTCTTTACAGTCCACTTGGTGTTGGTCATTCTGGGTTGATGTTCTCAGGTATGCCAAGTGTTTTTTCAGTATCTAGTTTTCAATTATCATTGTTTTTAAACGTTTTCTTGATTTCTGTTGTTCTCTTGCATTGGTCTTCATCTGTAAGTTATTGTCGGGTTTCAGTCTGAAATGTTGGTTCTGTGTTCTCAGTTCTTGTGGCTCATGGCCGAAAAATGACCAGATGCACCAGAGTAAGGCAAGCACAAAAATGAAGTTTACTAAGGAAAGATAGGATTATAGAGCAAGAACAAGGTACAGGTTTACAGAGCAAGACACAGACGACGACCAGACCCACTGTCGGAGCAAAAGAGAGAGGGCAAAAAAAAGGGGGCTTGGTTATGGTCTGGGTCTTGTTTTATAGTGCCCAGATTGGGGCCTCCCTCGTGGCTTAGACATCACCAGGGAACTAACTACTTCATTAGACAGTTGGGAGTTACATGACCCGAGTCTTACTATGCATGCAGATCTCCCTGAGCCTCTCTGAAAGCTGGCTGTTCCAGGTCACTTTCCAGACTCGATGGTACCGATGCTGCTTGGCCCCAGGGGCTAGAGAGTCCTCTGGATTCTTTCCAGTTGGCGAGCTAAGTTCGGATTGGCAGATTCATAGGGTATTCCCTCCTCCTCCAGGTATGGCAGTCACTGGGGACAGGATTAAGGTGGGGCAGTGCCAGGACAGGCGCCCACCTTCGTCCCTAGGAGACCTGGAATCCCTCATTATCTACCTAACACTATTACCCATATTTTGGATCTTTACCTATTTTCAGTATCTACCACCTTTTCTCACATCCTTTTTTACTTCATTTATTTTTTATTACTAATTTTTTGGTGCCTCATTTCTGAATTTCCTAATTCTGATTTAGGTTATTCTTTCATGTCTTCTATCATTTTCTTAATGACTTCGAGCTCACTTTGCAATAGGGTACAGTCTGATTTGCGTTCTGGGCATGTCTTCTGGCATGCTTTCACTGTCTCAGTGATGTTCTCTTCTTTATTCTCTTTATGCGAAATTGAGTTTTCTAAAATTTTTAGACAGAAGTGTGGTTCAGGATTGTTTTTCTGACTTCACATACTCCTCAAACACTGGACTCCTATTGGTCACTATCACCTTTTTCCATGCCCATTTTTTGCGTGGTACTTGGTTTTTATCATAATAATCACCCCAAAACTCAGGTTGGCAAAGATACAATGTCATCAGAAAGAATATAGAGCAGTTTGCCTGGAGTTTGATGGTGTCAAATATCACTGTTTATTTCAAATTTAAAATATACCGTAGTGCCCCTGCGAGCATGCTGTGGTGCCTTGGGACACGTTGGCGCACAGCTGAGGATCATGATCCCAGGTGATAGTGACACTGCTGATCAAGAGAACCACACTTGGGAATCACTAGGACTTTTAACTGTCTTGTAAAAAAACTGGAAGTACCAGAAGAAAGACTTTCAAAGTTGCGCTGCCAGCCAAGAAGCCAGTTTCTTCCTTTGGGCCCATGTACTCAGATAAGCAGGCGGATCAGTTAAAATATTGAAATCAAACACCTGGAAGCAGTTGTGTATGTGTGTTTGTGGGTGAACACGCTTGCAGATGCACACACACCTGAGTGTTGGGAAAACCAGTATGTGTTTCTTTGCCTTCATCTAGTTTTCTTACTGGGCACAAAAAACTACCTTGAGTTGAGGTATGCTTTCATGCTCATAGACCTTGGCATTCAAAGACATTTAGTTGTGAATATTTGAATTTGCTTTGTGACCTGCCACAGTGAATTTGATTGACTGCTGATTTGAGATGTGTTCGGTGAGGCTGCAAATTTTATAAAGAAAACTTTATAAAATATTTCATTTATAACATGTTTATATTTTATAAAGAAAACTTTGTGTCTTTCAAGAGAGGGCAAGGATATAGATAGGGTAAGGAAATCCAGATTGATTGGTACCAGGATTCATCATGCACAGAACCTTTGATGTTACTGCAAGTAAAACTCGCCCCTGATTTATATTATAATGAAGAGAAAACACAGCTGACCTCTAGAAGAGCAATCAACTGCTTTCCAGTGAACTGACGGATACAACTTCTCTCATGCTAATTAGTTGAAGATTGCCCTCTGTTCTCCTTAATGAATTAAAATCTGTTAAGATAAAAAGCAAAGCACTAAAAAAATGCTCATGAAGACACTGTAATTGGTGCTTCCTGCATTTTTCCATTCTTTCTCTTTCCAGGATCCCAGAAAATGTGGACAAATCATGAGAAGGTGGTATTCTGGATTTTTAAAAAGCCAGCAATTGATATTGGATAACAGACTATACTATTCAGTGATGTTCAGAGTTCTACCAAAAGCCCAAGCCCTGATTTACATTTAACATCTAAGAGAAATGGGATATAGATTTAATCCAGCCATTACTTTCCATAACAGAGGGATCTGTACAGATGAGACTGCTAGGGGGCAGCTTGCTAAGACCTAATCTATTCCCCAGGATTAATGTGGGCTTTCTGACATTTCTAATATTTACAAACTAGTCTTTGAGTTCTTTTTAGAAAAAGGAATGTGGATTTTTTAAGCTATGCTTTTGTAAGACTGGGTTTATAAATTAGAAAGACAAATCCTAGGTTAAAAGAGACCATCAAGTTCAAGGTATTTCTCCTTTATAAGAAGTAGTTGTCTTTGTTAATCTGACATTAGTTTTAACAGTAGTAGTTAAATTACCTGTCCTACTAGAAAGCTAGAACCTGGAAACTCCTTTAATCTACCTCTATGGAAATGGCTTTATACAAGCATTTGGCAGTATTGCCCTAAATTGAGCTCCTGGTTTCTATGGACAGCAAATGCTTTACCTTGCAATTGAGCTGTGTGTATTAATTGTGCTTTCCTTTTCTGTAGCGTGTTCCATGGGAAACGGTACAAGCAGACTCTATAGTGCTCTCGCCAAGACACTGAACAGCAGCAGTGCCTCCCAGCACCCAGAGTATTTGGTGTCACCTGACCCAGAACACCTGGAGCCCATTGATCCTAAAGAACTTCTTGAGGAATGCAGGGCTGTCCTGCATACTCGACCTCCCCGTTTCCAGAGGGATTTTGTGGATCTGAGGACAGATTGCCCCAGTAGACACCCACCTATTAGGGTCATGCAATGGAATATCCTCGCCCAAGGTATGCCTGATGCTTTTGTGCCTGAGCAGTTGTATTTGCTGTGACTTCCTTTCTGCTTCTGCACATGTCCAGTGCACTGACTGGTGTCTTATGTGGAGGGAAGAGGTGTGAGTAGATGGGGGTGTGGAAGGATGGGGTGACTAGAGCAGCATGAGGAATTCCCAGAAGGGGCGGTTGGGAAAGGGAGGCATTTAGTTTTCACTAATAAAGCCAGCAACTCAAGATTAGTTCTTTACCTTCTGTTTGTGGGCTATCCAAGAACAATGTCTACTTCCCCGCAGATCCAAATTTAAAGGATTGTGTTTTTTATTAGGCAATTCAGTGGAACAGCTTTAACCTTTCTGTTGCCTCCAGCTTTCTGTCCATAGCACTAAGATAGCATTTGCAGGGAAGAAACTGAGTAAGTAACCTGGAACTTTCTGCAGGGAATGGCAGCTGTTTGTGGGAGATACTGAATCTAGGTATTCACCATATTCTTATCCAAACTCATCTGTGTAACTTGAGGCCAAAAAGGTATTGCTTTAGTTCTCTGTTCATTAAAATACTACTTTGTTATGGTAGAAAGGACCCATTTCCTGGGTCTGCCAAATTAAAAAACAGATGCTTCAATCAACTTTCTGTAGCATTGCCTTTTATGTAGTGGTTGAAGTTTTAAGGAAAAAAGCCCTGATTTATTTTGATTTTGCTGGAAAGAATGGAATACTCCCTGACTTACAAATCTTTGATTCTTTTACTTTTCCAGGTTTTCATCCATAAGTAGGAAAGGCTGTCCATTTAAAATAGGTCTCATTCATTTTGAGTTAGTGTCTATTTATATCAGTTCACATGGTTTTATTATAGTTCATGTTATAGTATTTAGAGTTAAATATATTTATTTCATTTGACATAGTTAAGATCCCTGGGACTGCAGTGAACACTATTTCCCCAACTAAAGCTAAAACCAAAGATCTTACTTATATCCTGGAATATAGTTACATGAAATAGTTTTAATGCAAAAGAAGATCAATTGCATGCTGCATCCAGATGGTAACAAGTTTTTTAGTTTGGATGGGTTAATGCAGTTTAGGCAGAGAAGAATCACCCAGAGCCTCTGAAGCAGAGGAAGCCTTCTGAGGGTCTTGAGTGGTATCAAGCCCAAAGAGACTCCCAGGTATGTGGAAGTCATGGCTCTGTAGTAGCTGACAACTGACCAGCTTTTTCTTTTCAGCTCTTGGAGAAGGCAAAGACAACTTTGTACAATGCCCTCTTGAAGCACTCAAATGGGAAGAAAGGAAATGTCTCATCCTAGAAGAAATCCTAGCCTACGAGCCAGATATATTGTGCCTCCAAGAGGTGGACCACTATTTTGACACCTTCCAACCACTCCTTAGTAGACTGGGCTATCAAGGCACATTCTTCCCCAAGCCCTGGTCACCTTGTTTAGATGTAGAACACAACAATGGACCAGATGGTTGTGCCTTATTTTTTCTCCAAAATCGATTCAAGCTAGTCAGCAGTGCCAATATTAGGCTGACGGCCATGACATTGAAAACCAATCAAGTGGCCATTGCACAGACCCTAGAGTGCAAGGAGTCAGGTCGACAGTTCTGTATCGCTGTCACCCACTTAAAAGCACGCACTGGCTGGGAGCGGTTTCGATCAGCTCAAGGCTGTGACCTTCTCCAAAACCTGCAAAACATCACCCAGGGCGCCAAGATTCCACTTATTGTTTGTGGGGACTTCAATGCAGAGCCAACAGAGGAAGTCTACAAACACTTTGCTTCCTCCAGCCTCAACCTGAACAGCGCCTACAAGCTGCTGAGTGCTGACGGGCAGTCAGAGCCCCCATATACCACCTGGAAGATCCGGACCTCAGGGGAGTGCCGGCATACCCTGGATTACATCTGGTATTCTAAACATGCGCTAAGCGTAAGGTCAGCTCTTGATTTGCTAACCGAAGAACAGATCGGACCCAACCGGCTACCATCCTTCAATTATCCTTCAGACCACCTGTCTCTGGTGTGTGACTTCAGCTTTAACGAGGAACCTGATGGACTTTTATAAATGCTTGTCTTAGTCTTTTTAATCACAGGAGTCTTAACCAGGGATGTTTCAGGAAACTGAAATAGGATAAGAAGTTGCCTGAGGAAGGATAGAGACACGGAAAGTTTCTATCATTTCACTTTCCATGTCTCCAGCATGCCTTTGGGAAAGAATCCCGTTAGTTCGCAAATCTTTTCAATTAAAACCTATAGCAAAAAAGGTGTCTGCACTCCAGTTTTGGCTTGTATTGTTTTCTTTTCCCTTAGCATTACATTTTGATCATTTAAGGGCATTAAATTGGCTTATTTTGAAGCTTTTTCAGTTTGAGAATGCTATAAGAACTCAAACTTGCTTGAGTCCTCCTCCTTAATTAACAGTACCTATGTAGGAGCAATTTCTCTAGACTGCATTTTAAGTTATTTATTTAATGGTTTTTTTTAATGTCAAGATATGCATGGCAGTATTTATTTTTTTATATTGTCATAAAATTAAGTAAATAAATTGTAGCATTGTGAACATTTTAGAACCATGCAAGTTATAGAGAAAGTAATTTATAGTAATTTTCTTAAAGCTTTAAAATGTTTTCATTTGGGGTCTAACAAAATGTGTACAAAGGAACTATTTATATTTAGCCTGGAGTTTTTGTTACTTAAGTATATCAGATCTCCTTGATACATTCTTCATAAATAATCCTTGCTATGTCTCCATGTTTTTCCTGAAAAGATTCCAATTAATTTTCAGTTATTTAATCTATTAGTTTTCATTATTTAATCATTGTTATGTATTTAAGCTTTTCCACTGGAATAATATTGGTATATGTTTAGGTCACTAAATGTCATCATTATTTGTATAGGAATGTGCTTTTCACAGTAGGTTATTTAGGAGCTGTGATGTGGCAGTGGCTAAGAAAGTCAGTGGGACCTTCTTTCCACAGATGGAAATTTTCCTAGAAAGCCTGTTAATGAGCTGTCATTGAAATTTCCTAAAACAGCCAGATACTGTGGTTCAAAACATCTAGAAAGAATGTAAAAAGTTAAAAAGGTAACCTGGAATTCTCTATCAGAAAAACAAGTGGTAAAGATAACAGGTGAAGCTTCTTGCAGACAATATAACCTATTGGTAATAAATTGATAAACATTTTAATTCATGAGTTGTAAATACTTAAGATTATTAAATAAATGGTCTTTTAAAGCTAGTGCTTTTAGTATCTTGTCTTTTTAGTCCAAAAAGAATCTGGGAGTAGATTTGATCTCTTAATGCTGTTACATGGTAACCCACACTATCCATTCACACACAGAACCTTCATTTTAAAAGTGGACAAAGGTGGACCTGTAGCTGCAAGCTGAAGGCAGGCACCTATGCTGTTACTTATGTGGTGTCTCAGCACCAAGGTGGGAGTCCCCAAAAATGGATCATCCAAATATTCTGCATTATTAGAACCACTTTTGAAACAGATGAGGTTTCTTAGTAGTATATATAAATCATGTTGGGTTGAATTTCATATTTTCACTTTACCATAATTCTTTCTTTGTAGACAGTTTTGCCTTAGGGACTATGAGAATAACCTGAAGGCAAAATGGCAAATAACAAATCTGTTCTACAGAACTAAGTACAGCTCTAAATTTTTAAGTATGTTCGATGCATTAATTTCTCTTATTCCATCCCCCTGTACCTTTTGGTTTTGCTTTTCCTTTTATATCTAATATTTTATTGTTGCTGAATTAACAGTCTTAAAAGAAGGTAAACTGTGCAGAGTTGAAGAGGGTGTGAGGGGGGCATGGATTTTTGCTTGCTTCATGCCACATTTCAGTAGATTCCACTCTTACAGGGTGGTAGTAATAAATGCCTCATTTCTTTAAATAAAGCATTATGGTGTATAAATAAAAGGAAACTAACACTGGAGTTCCCCTACCTATGGCTCTAAGAGCTTTATGTATGATCTTAAAACTACTCTTAATTTATAGATAGGGGTTCAAAAGGTCAAATAATTCGAGCAAAGTGACAGCTAATAGCTGAGCCAGGATTCAAACCCAGGTCTGTCTTGACTCCAAAGTGCTTGCTTCTTCCCCACCTCTATGTTCCCTTGGCCTTCAGTGAGTACAAATGGGGAGAAAAGTGATATCGTGGGGAAGCAAGAGATTTGTTCAAGGAAAAATAGTCAAACACATAAGTCATACTTTTGTAGTAGACATACAATATTAGAAGAGAAGATAGAGTGGCTGATATAGTCGATTTCAGTTATTCTGATAAAGGCTAGTTTTGCCAAAAGTAGAATATTTGATACTGTTTTCATACTTTGATGATTGTTTTTTTTTAAAGGAAGCAATAAGAACAGCTACTCTAGTAGTGTTTCAAACTAAAGAAATTGATGCAAATATTCTGTATTCGAACCATTTTTTAAAACATACAAGATTTAAAATGAAGGGACTGTTGCATATAATAATAAATATGCTTTATATATGTGCCTTAGATTTGAGGAAAGAGTCCCAAGATTTAATTTACAAAGAGATAAAATTAAAACATGCTCATAATCACAATTGATTTGAGTTTTATTAAAGGAAAGCCATCCAAAAAAATGAATGGGCTTGCATACAGAGCTCTGATGAACTCTTTAAATCACATGTATAAAAACATGGCATAATCAGGCTTTTTATCTAGAGTAGATGGATACTAGTAGCAAGAGATTTTTGTTAAGTGAAAAATGGTTAAACACCAAAATGGCAAAGGCCTGGGGCGTGGGCTTATAAAATAAGGGGAGGTGAAAAAGCAACAAGTCAAAGGGCACAGACCATAGATGAGAACACTCAGCTGTGACCAGTGTGATCCTGAACAGGTCACTTCATCTCTAGGCCCCCAGTTTTCTCATCCACAGAATATATCATTATACCTGTCTTCTTGACCTCAGATTTGTGATATGTCTGTAAAACACATATATATTTAAGTTGCTGAATAATAATGCTTAAAGTTCAAAACATGAACGGGACGGGTCCTATACTTCATTTCACAACAACTCACTCCAAATTGTTTTTAGCCAAAGAGAATAATGCTTCAATTTGAAAAGGCAGAACCAATAGTGTTAGTAGAAATTAAAGCCCAAAATAGGCAGAGGGGCTGACAGAATGACAAGAGATTGGTTATTCTCTCCCTTCCCCCCAGTGTTCCTCCTTTTTAAGCAAGATATGAGGTTGTGGGTTAGTGATTAGGTTCTTTAATTTCATGAGAGGTTGTCAATCCTATTTTGATTTGCAAAGTAGAAATATCTGCCTTTGAGTGACAGAACAGTTTAATATCCACAACTCCAGGCCCTGCTGCCCCTGGATCTTTTGAAAACTCACTTCCTGAAAAAATATTCATGTACGATTAGATGTGCAAAGCAAAGCCATTCCTCTTTACAAGAATGTTAGGAAAAGCTCCACTGCTGGTAAGCATCTGTTACAACTTGGACCGTATGAATTTCAACTGATCATCTTTTTTGTTTTGACTGCCAAGACATTCAAAACCAAAGTTTATAGCTGAATTTTAATTATTGTGTAACACTTTATGGCATGTATTCTGTATATTAACTTTCTTCTTTTGCCATCCTTTTTTCTTTGCCTAATCTTCTTTTACCTATTTATTTTTGTTGACTTTCATTTATTCATACAATATGTAAACCATCTGAAATTTAAGCAGAATACTGGTTAAATTATCTTGCCACATTAAATAGATTCAGGCTTCAAGATCTAGACAACTTGCATACAAGAATGTGGAAATATGATTAGAGTCCCATATGTATAATACTGAGAAATACCAATCAAAATACCAATCAAGAAAGGTACTGGAAGATTGGACAGGGAGTACGTCTGATATTTGATTCTGGTTGCTATAGACTGGTAAACCTAAAGAGAACACCCAGCAAAATTCTGCAACATTTTAAAATTAAGTTTGTGGGAAAGTATCATTACATGATAGAATAGACTTACTTGGAAACTAATGTTATTTCCCTCCCTGCTCACCGCCCCTTTTCGATGAGAGGGAGTGAGGGCTGAGGCAAAAACTAAACTGGGAGTCAGAGGATAAGTTGCACTGACTAGCTGAACTGACTGGTAAGTCAAAAATTTCCTGAACCTTAGGTTCTTCATTTGTAAAAAAGGGAATAGTCTCTAAGGCTTCCTAAGACTCTGATTTGAACTTTAAAACTATTTGAGTTACTGCTGCCAACTGCCCCAAAATATTTTTGATAGTTTTGGAACTGCTTCTGTATGTTTATAAAGCTCTTAAGAAAACCAGTGTGAACTTTATAGCAACATCTCATTTTGAACCAAATGTGGCATTACCTGGCTTGATTCACATCTTATTAAATAACCTCAGATGACTTGGCTATTTCTAAAACTAAGATCTTCAACAGGTAATGTGCTCTATTAAATATTTTTAAAATTTAGATTCTGCTCTAAGAAGCAATTCAAAAGTAATTTGAACAACAGTAGCATTATTAGCATTAGTATATAGCTTTCCAAAGTAATTTCTTTGAAGGGACAGGCATATTAGCATGGACTACTGTTTCATAAGACTCTAAAGACTCATCCTAATTAAAGAGATTTTAAATATAAGAAAAAGGATTTACAATCTATAAAATATAAAGTATGTAAGTTTTTAAAAGGCCATTTGTAATACTTAACAGACAAACCTCCAATTACCTTTTTCCACTGAACATTTTAGAAACACTTCAGTTGGCACATATCCCTAAATGCTAACACTTTCCTTGTTTTAACTGTAAGGCAGTAATTCTCAAACTTTGTTGCACAATGAAATCACCTTTTAAAATTTTTAACCTGAGAAAGCTAACTGAAAAAAAGAATAGAAAAATAAGATGATTCCTGACTCCCTCTCCCAAAAGTTGTAATTTAATTGGTATGGTGTATGACCTGGGCAACAGGATTATTCAAAGCTTCCCAGCTATTTCTAATGTGCAGCAAAGTTACCATTGAATTCAAGTGAATTAGTTAATACCCTACAACTCAGAAATAATTTTCAGATTATGTAAAATAGATTAGTATTTTACCTTTTGGGACAGTGCTGATACCACTTCATTAAAGAAACTTTCTGAAACAGAAAAAATACTCTCAAAGTTAAAACATACTACAGTGAGATGGGAACAAACAGTATCTTGGGAAAAGACAACTCTGCTTTTAGTTTATAGCCTATTTATACTTTTATTTTTGATATGGACCATCTTGCATTAAACAGTTATGTTTTACTTCTATTATGTTTTCACTTTGGAAGCTGTGATATATTGTTAAGTCTTGAACCCACAGGATTACTAAGTTGCAGCATTCAGAAAGATAGTTACAGGTGATCAAATAAGTCTCCCTGCTGCACTTGAGTGTTTCAAAGGTTTGGAGCCTTGATGTAGATAGGAAGCAAGTCAATGCCCTTGCACAGGGTGAACAGTATCTTATTCTACCATTAGGGTTCATAACATTGTGTACTAAGCTCCTCTACCATATAATAGGTTTTAATTAGGGGGGACAGTGATTATAACAAAGGGGCTGAAAACTTGGTGAATCACAACCACAGAGAACTTGCAGTACTATGAATGGTTAGAAACTATAATAAAGGAAATGTTGCTTTGATAGCTGTGAAAGTGAAGTAGGGTTACTCTTGCTTTCCCAAAATAATGTGCTCTGTACTACCCTCATAAAAGGAGGACAGGAGACTTACAGCAAAGGGATCACAGGATACCTTGTAAATAACCCCAAGGCCAAAACTTCGTCTCTGGAAATAAGGTTATACAATTTTTAGTAACTAAACATGACTTGTTTATATAAAAGTGATCAGAAATATATACCCCTAGTGGCATCAGAGGCAGGCCTTCCAAGCAATGTACCAGGTGCCCATTCCTTACATTCTGGCTTCACCACCACACCTTACTGGAACCACCCTCTAATCATTGTCAGTGTCAATCTTAGTGGCTTTTTCTTTGGCCTTATTTGTTTTGCCCTTCCTGTTGCACTTAATACTCTTGTCCATCGTATCTTGAAATGTTACCTCATCTGTCCTGTTTGTTCTCTGAACAGTCCCTGACTTCCACTGCTGATTCCTTTTCCTCTTCCCCAATCTGTCTTTATATACTTGACTCTTTCCAGTCTGTATTCAGTGCTTACTCAGAGTACATCATGCCCCACCTGGAGTGGTCTCAAAGTCTATTTCATTCAGAAATTTTTATTTCAATGTCTGTCATTTCCAAGTCAGTAAATAAAACTGAACTCAAATCTAGGTGAAGGAGGAAAGATAACTGTCCAGACAGAAGCCATCAATGAAATGACTCAATGATGTATGGGTGCCTGGAATATTTGAGAAAATGAAATATTTCAGTATGTCTATAGCCCAGAGATGTCTAAAAGAGGAGTAGCAACGGAATGAGGCTTAGGGAGACAGGCAGATGCCACATCAAAGGACTTTAAATGTTATGCTTTAGGACTTTTATCTTTTCAGCAAGAGATACAATCACAATGGTATGAGTGATGAAATTCACATTTAGAAAGCTCTCAGCTGGTAGCATAGAGAATGGATTAGAGGGAGGCTTGGTAAGACAAAGAAATAAAGATAGGGAGTGTGACAATGAAAGATATTTAGAAAGTACCATCAGCAGGACTTTGGTGAATGACTGCGGTAGGTAAGCTGTCTAGAATGGCCCCCAGGTTGCTTCTGGCATGAATAGTGGTTGCTGGCAATGTCATTTATTGAGCAAAGAGGAACAGATTTTAAAGGAAAAACAATCAGTTGGACAGTCAGGAGGAAATAACCAGTTGCCAATTAGATAAACTCTAGATCTAAGACTTAGAATAAATTTTAGGCTATAACAATAGATTTAGCAGTAAAAACCATATGCATTGATAGAATTATGTAACAATTATGTTAGTGAAATCATATAGTAAACATTTAATAGACTGTTTGCTATGTGCCAGGCAATGCTTCTAGATCCTTAACCTATTAACTCATTTAATCCTTACAACTCCTCTATGAGGAAAAGAGACCTGTAGACAGAACCTTTCCTGGAAAGTCAACAGAAAGCAGACTAAGAAAGAAGAGTTGGTTAGGCAGGAAGTGAACATGGAAAACCAAATGAGTTTTAAGAAGTAGGCTGAGGCACGAGATCACAAGAAAAACTGAAGTGCCTGTTTGATTTGACAATTGGGTTATTAGAGACTTCACTGAGACTTGTTTTTTGTTTAATTTTTAAAATTTGAGACAGGGTCTCGCTATGTTGCCCAGGCTGATCTTGGACTCCTGGGCTCAAGCAATCCTCCCACCTCAGCCTCCTGAGTAGCTGGGATTACTGGTGCACACCACTGTGGCTGGCTGAGAACTGTTTCTAAGCTGGAATTCGGACTGCAGGCGATTAGTTGAAGAGAAGAGACACAATAACAAGCTGGCTATTAATTGTTGGAACAAGGAGACTAATGAGGAGTGACAGGGAGATGCTCAGTACCAGAGGAAGAGCACCCCATTCCTGAGACAGGCGGTAAGAATGTGTGCTGGAGAATATGTAAATCCTCTGTAGCAAGGGGTCCAGAAATGAAGGGATACTGCTCATACGGTGAGAAGGGTGGTGAAGCCCAGAATTGTTGCTAGAAAATTACCTAAAATATAAATAGACTGCTGATCCATAATTCAAAGACCTAGTGAGGCTGAAGATGCAATAGCATCAAGCCATGGTTGTGTGGTTTTTGTCTGACATGCTGGAGATAAAAAAGCAAATATAAGTTATACTGATTTATAACTGAGATTAAACTTATATACTGAGATTAAAAGCCATAGTGTTAAGGGGGCAGGCAGGTGGTGGGGAGCCATGCCATTGATAATTTCAATATGCAGAAACATTCTGGTCAGTATATACTGTCAACATGTTAGATGTACTTATTCTGAAGAAGACACAGAAATTTCCAGTAGAGTGATGGAGGTATGCCAAGTAGGCCTGGCTAAACCTAGTCAGAACCAATTAATACAGCAGAGAAGGAAAGTATTCACTTAAAATTTAAGTGTCTTCAACTGTCCTCCATAGCATGTGACTTATGTTCTTAGCAAATGTTACCAAAATCAGTAACTGATTTGAGTGTCTAATATGCTCAGCACTTGGAGAGGAGCAGGTATGGCATAAAACATAATCTTTGTCCTAAAAGAGCATTATGAAACTGAACAATGAACCATGGTGCAAAAAAGAAGATACAAATGCCAAAGCCTATAGTATCAATTTTGAAAGCTGAAATATTTAGGAAATGTTTTAAAAGAAAGTAGAATTTGAGATTAACTCCCTTGGCCGGCACAGTGGCTCCTGCCTGTAATCCCAGAGACTCAGGAGGCTGATGCGGGAGGACTGTTTAAGGTCAGGAGTTCAAAATCAGCCTGTGCAATACAGAAAGACTCTGTCTCTAAAAAAAAATTAAATTAAAAGAAAAGTAACTCCCAAATGGGGTAAGAATCAAGTGGTTTTGAGCTTTTATTAAAAAGTACCATAGGTATATTTATGAAAAAGATAAAGATTAGAGAGTGAGCAGTTATAAAAATCTTTGTTGACCAAAGTCATATCTGATCAAATGCATAATTAAAGGCCAAAAAATAAAGTAGCAGAGTTCATGTAAATTTCTAAAAGATGTAAAATTAGAAACCTTGTCTTTGTAGTGGAAAGAGCATTAAGATATGGAGTGATAGGAGCTAGTTTTATGTGAAAATTAGGTAAATCATGTAATCCTGCTCGCCTCCCAATTTTCTAATCTGTACAAGGACCAGAGGATTATTTGTTCTTCTTATTCTCAAAAGGTCTGATTGGGAAACATGGTCTGATTTGAAAATGTTTTACAAATATAAATTCTTTCAGTGCAGCCAACTAAAATACTAAATTCATTATGGTCAGTAGAACATTACAGTTCATGACAGTAACAGAAAGGAGGCAGCAACATGCAGGTATTTGCCAAATGTAACGGAACAAAACAGAAGTAGAATTTTTTCACACAGTAGTTGGGAAGGAGATATAGAGGACTTCTATTACTTCTTAACTAAAACGACATCTCTATATACTGACTTTTGAATATTGTTAAAAATATCACCAGAGACCAAAACAGAAGATAAATTTCATTTCTATATTTGAGAAAACCTACTTGAATACACTTTGAAACAAGAGTACAACAAAATAGAATATACTTCAAATGTTGAATATACAAACTATTATAGTTCAAATTTGAACACTGGTACTTTCCCTCTTAAACTTCAACTAAAAAAAAAAACAGAAAGAAAAGAAAAGAAAGAAAAGAGAACTCCAGATATTAGAGTTACCTGACAAAAATTCATGCTAAGCCTGAAATTTCAAGTGACAGTAGAACCAAAACTGGTATGTCCGCACAGATGCCAGGGCTGAGTGAGTGACACAGGCATGTTACAGCAAAGGCCAGAGCCAACTGTTAATTTGTCCACAATTAAGAAACTGACAGACTTAAACTACCATATAAAATGTTACATGTAAATTCTATAACAATACTGTGCTAGGTACAAGATTTTTAAAATTTTTCTTTTAATAAAAAAGCTTTACATAAACAAGCCATTAGCTTATTTCAAGAAAGAAAACCGAAAATTAGTCTAAGGCCTTTGTTTTAAATCAGCTTAAGCTATATGATATATATATATATATATATATATATATAAAAAAAAAAAATCGCACTAGATCTTTTTTGCTATCTTCTTTCTGAAGCTTTTGGATCCATTCTTCAATTCACATTCTAAAATACCTATATTAGCAGAGTCTTCACATAGCACCAGTTAAGTGAGTACTGTGCAAGCACAGTAATAATTGCTGGTATGCATATAAAATGCATCGAAAATTGCTATATGTAACAACGAGATCACCCATCCCAACCCCTCCCCACTGAAAACTAAGTAACCTCTTACAGAATGTTAGTGTTCCAAGTCTTAGTGTGAAACGTTATCGTAGTGAGCTGCTTGGTCCCTTTCAATCCTTTCTCTTATTGATGGGTTCAGTTGTTTCCTACTGTAAGAGGCAGTTTTCTGTCAGCATCTCAGTATGTAGTTCATTTCCCACTGAAACATGGGATAGGTAATTTATTCCAGTAAGTTTGATTGTTTTCTTATATGCATTAAAAAAGGTTTTAAAGTCTTCTTTGACTTAACTTGATGACTTCCCTTGCAAATGTTTATGTCAGTACTACCACTAACAGTCTGAAGTCCATGGTGGAGCTGCTATTTTATTTCTCACATGTCACTAGTCCTTCTGTTTTCATAGTTACAGGAAGGGCAATAGCTGAAGGCGCACTGACAACCACTACGTGGGTCACTGTCTTATTTCCATCTGCTGGTTTTTCCTCTACCAGCTGCAAAGTTTTCACATCGTGTTCCTGCTTTTTTGCTACTGCTTCTGATTTAACCTCTGGCCCTTTTATGACTGCACTGATAACTCGAGGAGGAGTCTGGCCAGATGCCTGTTGAGTAGGCACTGATAGTCTCATTACAGGTGTACCATGGGCTATTGAAACAGGAGTAAGTGCTCTCACAGCCAATGGGGTTCCAACAATGTTAATGCTTCCTGATCCAGTCAGATTTGACTTTGTCTGCAGTTGACACTGTGCAAGTTGTGTAGCTGGGATGGTAATAATTTTGGCAGGCTGCATGGTGATTTTGTCTCCATTTTCAGTAGAGGCTGGCATCACAGTAGGGATTGTCTGAATGACTACCTTTGGAGAGGTTGCTGTTGTTGGACTAGTGCTGGTTATTAATGGTGCACCTGCATTGACTGACTGAACTGCCACAGTTGAAATTTTCTGACCCAATGATGTCATTACAACAGGTACTTGCATTGCCACACGAACTGTCCTAGAAGATTAGAAAGAAAAAAGTTGATTATGTTTAATACTAAATTAGAAAATGGGTCTCTAGAGCAAAAGATGAATGCATATCCAAAATGTATTAAAACTAGTGCTCCCAAATTTTACAGATGTACTGGCAATCCCTGAAGTTTAGAATATGAAATACCATTAAGCAAATATATTAAAAAAACTAAAGCCCACGTTAAGCTCCTATAAAAACATAAAAACCAATTCAGATTAGTTGAGACATCTACTTTAACAATGAAAAATACATTTAAACTATCAAGCACTTTTCAAAGTCCTGACAACAGTGGATTCTTAGAACAGACATTTCATTTTTACCAAGTAAATACATTACAACTAATGGTTTGCCTCACTTACCTTGGAGCTGCTGTTGCTGATACAGATGTGGTGGTAGTAGGAGACCTGGATGAAGCGTCATGACCAGGGGAAGTGATATTCACAACTCTAGCTACACCCTTCTCTGCTCTGGAGCAGTTTATAGGAGATGAGTTTTTTCCACTACGAACAGAGGTTGCTGCTTTTAGGAGACTTTCTGCAGACAGTGACACACGCTCTAATGATTTTTCATCCGCAGCTGCTGCTAAATCTTCATTACAGGTTTCACTTTTGTCATCATCTATGACCACTATGTTTTTGGGCATATCCTTAAACTGATACACAAGCCTCTGTCCTTCAACCTTTGCAAGAATTCCCCTTTGGTAGTAGTATCTGTAAGGGGAAAAAGTACTAAATAAATCAAGTATATATTTGATTTCAAAAAAAAAAAAGACCATGTACAGTGGATACTAATAAAAACATTCACTTATTCCCGTAAGAGATGAGGGGAAAAAAGGTGCTCTTACTGCTAAAAAGATTACAGATCTGGAATAGGAATGAAGCTGGAACCTGGTGCCTGCCATAGGTCCTATAACCTTGAGATCTATAAAGTAGCGAAAAGTTCATTCTCTTTCTTAATGGAAATAATTTAACTTAAATACAAAATATTTTATTGACATTGGTAAAAATTCCATTCTGATTTACACGTTATAAAAACAATCTGATGTTATATGGAAAAACTGCCATAAGCCATACTTAGTAGAGATGATATGTCAATACTGTCACTTAGACCATGTGACAACACCCATAATTAGAAGAACATTAAATGACAGAGTTTTGTGGGTTTCTCAAACTGACAAAACTTAAGAGAAATTTTCATATCAAGATTCATTTATTTATAACAAACACGCAGGAACTAAAAGGCACAGTAACTTTGGAAACTGTATTTTGTTTAACTTTTTTTTAAAGGCCAACAACAATTTCTAGTAAGGAATAGTCCTAAGTACGAAAGCGCATTTTCTACAGAAGTGCGTTTTCCAATGATGTTGAAATTTTAAGCATCTAGACCAAATTCCTCTGTCCGTATCTACTCCCAAAATCCAAAAAGCTCCTCTAGAATTTCCCCCACAGTTAAAAGTTGTAAGAGATTTTAAGCTTCTCTTTAAATTAAAAAGCTAATAAACAATATAAAATGACATATAAGTTTTGTTTGAATACTAGCTCATTTGTGTTTTTACCTCAAAGCTCGTCCCATAGTTTCATAGTTCATGTCTGGCTTATTCTTATGCTTTCCCCAAAGCTTAGAGACAGCCTTTGAATCCACAAGCTTGAAAATGCCTTTTTCTCTCTGAGTCCATTTAATATACCGAGGACAAGTATTTTTATCTTGAAGTAGATCTAAAAGAAACTCCCACAAATAGGTTGTGTTTCCTTTAAAACAATAGTAGACATTGATTAAAAATTAACATATATCAGCTTCTA